GCTTATGCTAATAATAAATTAGAGATAATTAGTATTGTTATTATTCCATTGTTTTAATTTGCAACGAGAGTTGAGTTTTAACGGAATTGAATGAATCAATTAAGAATTTGAAGTTCATCGCGAGAGTAGTTGAATGAATGATTAGGAAGTTAAGTAATGTGCATAATGTTTCTAATTCACATGATTTCATGAGAATAGGTATGATTGTGACTGAAGAAGCCATTGATAACTCGAGAGACATCTTTCGTATTTTCTAGGGATTGTTTTTTCTCTTGTTAATTGATTTATATATTAGGGGTAGAATTAGAGCTATCAAAAACTAACCCAACCCGAGAACCCGGCCTGAACCCGCAATGATTTGAACCTGATCTGTACCCAAACAATGGGGTGAAACTAGTGACTTGTAACCCGACCTAAACCCAACCTGATGTTAACCGACAACCGATTTGATCCAATACTTTATGGCCTAAACTCGAACCTGCACCCGACCTGATAGTAACCGTTAACCGATTTAATCCGACCCGACAACAATCCAAACTCGAACTAGTACCCGACCTAATTAGAACCTGAAATTGGTTATAACCCAACACAACCTGTTATTGACCCGAGTCACGGTAGGTTTAATAAAAATTTTACATACCTTTTGTTCAGCTTATATATTGGTACAATTCAGTAAACCCTCAATCCTAACAACATATTGGTACAATTTGTTCACCTTATATACCATTTGTTTTATATTACTTCGTATATAAGTTTAATAAAATCTTGATAATGTTTGATCAAATTATGGAAGGCGTAGTTATTTAGGTTCAACTTGACCACATCGATATTTATTCGAATTGAACTTGAACCAAACAAACCAACTTTAAGATTATCCGACCAAATAATTTTCTGACCTAACCCTAACCCGAACCCCAATGTATCATCTATTAACCCGCCCAAACCCGACAACACAACCCGAACCTGAAACTTAACCCAATCTGAATTTGACTCGAATCGAACCCGACCTACACCCGAAATGGTGAACAACCCGGAATAACCTAACTGAAATTGATCTGACCCGAACCTGAACCTGATCAGAGGCTAGATTGACCCGACATAATCTGATCTTGATTTGACTCGAGACCTGATTTGACCTGACCCAAACCCGACTTGAGTACCCGACTTGACAACTCTAGGTAGAATTAGTATTGCATTGATTATATTCGTGGTAATGCTTGATCTTGGATGTCTTTAGTATTTGATTTACCATACTATTTAGTTTATTCATCTTACTTTGATCTTTAGTTATTAATTCTCATTTATTTGATTTGGTTACTTGCTTAGAAATTACTTGAGTCTATTTAATTAGTTGAACTATAGTCTCTTGGGATCCGACCCTTACTTGCCCATCTACATAGTAGTGGTCTAGTTAGGTTTATTTTGTTCGGTACGCGACACGCCTATTAGGAGATCTAGGAATATGACAGTCTTTGAGCAAAAATTAATTTTTATTCAATCAACTTGTAACAAGTTTCTGGTGGACTCTCAAAGAGGATACTTTAAGCTTAATACAGATGGTTCTTGGATGGATATTGACAATGCAGGTGGAGGTGGTGTCATTAGAAATGATAAGGGCATCTGGCAGGTTGGTTTTGCTGTCAAGTTCAATGCCATGTTTGCTGCTTCTTCTGAACTATTGGCAATTAGAGAGGGTCTTATTATTTGCCTGGAATAAGGAGATCAAGCTTCTAGAGTAAGATATAGATGCTGAAGCTCTTCAGAAAATGCCTCTTGATCCTAACTCTTTTCTGGATCATGATCTGGGGAATGTGATAAGAGATCTTGCTGAACTTTTTAGTAGAAATTGGTCTATCACCGTGCTGCATGCTAAGAGAACTGTCAATTTCTTAGCTCATCACCTGGCAAACATGGGAAGAAATGATGTTCAGCTTAACAACAGGTAGCTCTACTTCTATCCTCCTCAACATCTTTGTGACATCTATGCTTCGGAAATCACAGGCCACATTGCTTAATCATTCTGTCTTCCTGGCAGTTGTTCCCGTACTTCCTTTTGCACAAATTGGGATCCTTAATAAGACTTTTGCCAACAGTTTGGATAGTATTAGGTTACCTACTTCTACAGTCTATGTTTGTACTAGTTTCTGTATTCTGCTACTTCATGATCTGAACTATTTTTTGAACAAGGAAATTATAACTTCCTTGAATTAATATAATATATTTCCCTTCTGTGTTAAAAAAAAAAATTAAAAAAAAAAATAAAAAACTATGATAATCACTTCATCAAGTAGATTTTAAAACAAAACAAACAAATCAAAATAAAGCAATTATTTTATAAATGAAAGAAACGTCTATCTTTCTTGTAAGGTTGAAAGAATATATGAAAGAAATTTGAAGATTTTCTCAAGTTAGGGATAGTGTTTAAATTCCGATACAAAAACATTTAGGAATTCTTATTTCCTCCATTATTTTTATAGTTTTTAACACTATTTATGTATTTCACTTTGACTAGCTTTGATGATTCTTAACTATGTAAAAATATAGTCATATGGAATCTTATTAGATTCGTCTCGATTTATACTATTTTATAATATCAAAAGTTTATAAAATTATTTATTTATAAATAAAGATGTTAACGATTGAAATCATGTATCGGCATGCGTGAAAGGAGAAATTATTGTTAACTATAAGTATTACTAGATGGAAGCCCGTGCGATGCACGATTTTTTATACATAAATCTCATGAAAAAATTATTTTCTTAATTTAACCCTATAATTTTTTATTATTTTGCAAATTATAAGTATGATAAATATTAGAATAAAATCATAATCCTATTCGTATTTTTTTAACCTAGGATTCGCATGTATAACGAAAACACGTTGTTACACTATACATATATAGTTATAGAATCACTATTTTTCTTTCACAAACAATAACTTAGACCACCATTATTCTTTTACTCCGTATCAATTTTATACAATGAAAAATTAATAAAGTAAACCCAAAACTACAAAGCTAAAATAAAGACGGTGGGAGTAATAGTAAAAGATATGACTTTATAAATTTTTAAATAGTTAAATGAAATATATATATATTACCAAGAGTGTTGCATTACTAAAATTAATCTAATTGAATAAAATTAAATCTTTATAATGAAATTTGATTATCATATGTCCTTAATAATAGAGTTATATGTATACACTACTAAAATGATTTTTACAATAATAATATAACCGATTGAAGCTGAACTGAACTGAATATTTTATGAGAGAAGGAAATTAGGAACTGAATTGAACTGAACTGAAAATAAGATGAAGAGAACAGACCCTTACTTTTCCAATATTTTATGCGATGCACGGTTTTTTCATCTAAGATTTTTAATTATTTGATTTATTGTAATAATTTCAGACAAAATTGCAAAAGTTTAATATTTATTTATTTTTTTACTATAATTTATAATGAATTTATTAAATATAAATAAATTGTAAATATGATTTTTTTTTCCGTTATATAAAATCTTTAATGTGAAATGATAAATTTTAATAATTTAAATCCTAAATCATTATTCATTGTTTTACCATATCTTTTATTTCGATAGAATCACCAACCTCGTCCACAACCAACCTACTACATCAATGGATAATTGAACCGCGAAATGTTAGCCAAACTGAAATTGATATAAATTAAATCTTTACATTTATATAAATTAAATTAATATATTTACCAATAAATGAAAAATTGTTGCGATATAAAAGATAAAAAAAAATCTATGCATTGGAATTTTTTCATCATCTCCAAAAATAACCAAAGCCATCCATATATTAAGTATACAACATCTAATCGTATGTCATTACATAAACAAATAATCGTTAAGTATCCTAAATAAATACAATGTAACTAATAATTACAAATATAAATTTAAACATAAGATTTTAAAAATTACCCGGACATTAATGGCTTAAAACAAACACAAAATTAGTAACACAAAATTCGCTTGATGGGGTTTTGTATTGATACGAAATTTTACTTATGTCGTATGATGTGTTAAATCTGCATGTAAAAAAACACATTTAGTAAATAAAACATAAATATATAATCGTTGAGTATCCCAAATTAATACAATGTAAGTAATAATTAGAAATACTAATTTAAACATAGGATTTTTAAAATTAAGCTAAAAATTACCCAGTCATTGATGACCAAAAATTAATACAAAATTACTAACACAAAATTTGCTTGATGGGGTTTTTTTATTGATACAAAATTTTGTTTGTGTCGTATAATGTGTCAATTTATAATGAAGGTATTACAAATTTTAAGTTAATTATAATTAACAAACAATTTGTATTTCTTATCATAAATACTATCCAAATTTATTACTTTTTGAAGAATATTGATTTTTTTAAAAAAAATTTGAAGAATATTAGTTAATTATTAATAATTTATATTTCTTTTAAAATGTTTTCTTTTTAAAAAAAATTGATTGAACGTTTTCTTAAAAACAAAATGAACATATATTTTATTTTTTCAAATATTTAATTTTAAAGTGTTTGTATATAATAATTGTATAGTTTATAGTTTTTTTAAAATTAAATCCTAATATCAAAAGATCATCTTTCAAAAAAGATAATTTTTAGTTTTAAAATAATTTAAATCTTAATAAATCATTATTCGTTGTTTTTGCCTACGTGGAAATTTTTTTAAATTTCATTCGTCACTTTTGCTTATGTGGCGAGTGAATTTTTTAATTCTAAAATAAAATACAAATCTAACTTTTAATTGATCGAAATAATACCTTTGCTTATGTGGCGCGTCAAATGCTCTCGAAAAATGCCTACTTTCAAAAGATCATCTTTTAAAAAAGATAATTTTTAGTTTTAAAATAATTTAAATCTTAATAAATCATTATTCGTTGTTTTTGCCTACGTGGAAAAAAATTTAAATTTCATTGGTCACTTTTGCTTATGTGGCAAGTGAATTTTTTAATTCTAAAATAAAATACAAATCTAACTTTTAATTGGTCGAAATAAAACCTTTGCTTATGTGGCGCGCCAAATGATCTCGAAAAATGTCTAATTTATTTATATATATTAGATTTGTAAAAGTAGTGGATGAATGCCTGAAGCAGTTTATTATAGAGGACAGGCCCAACAACAATTGAACACTCAAGAATCAAACTTTAGCACTAAAGGGCCTAACGGCTAGGAAGAGAAAAAAGAAAAGAAAAAAAAAAACATAAAAGGGATCGGCGCCCAACGCTGTAATCAAAGTGTTTGAAAACATTAAAGCAAACAACGGCATTTTTCTCAGCCACACTCCTTCAACAGATACTAACGAAACCCCAATTTTCTCTTCTGAAAACATCAGTGTGTTTGAAAAATGGCGAGTAACATAGGAAACATGGATTCGGCGTATTTCGTAGGCAGATCCGAAATTCTCTCATGGATTAATTCTACCCTTCATCTCAATCTCTCCAAAGTCGAAGAGGTACGCCTCTCTTTCTTTTCGTTAAAATTGTTTGATAAATTCTTCGATTAATGGTGGTTTGTAAAATAATATAATAAAATGTAATATTAACGACCCGGTAAATTTCAGGCGGCTTCCGGGGCAGTGCAGTGTCAATTGATGGACGCTGCGCATCCGGGGATTGTACCGATGCATAAGGTCAATTTCGAGGCGAAAAATGAGTACGACATGATTCAGAACTATAAGGTTCTTCAAGATGTCTTCAATAAGCTCAAGATTACTAAGGTACTACTCTTTTATTGATTTTATTTCTTCAGTCTCCCAATTATTGTTTTATTATTTTAAAATTTTCTGTATTATAATTTTTTGGTATTTCTTTTGGTGATGTGGGAATTCAGCATATAGAAGTTAACAAACTCATTAAAGGGAGGCCATTGGATAATCTTGAGTTTATGCAGTGGATGAAGAAATATTTTGACTCTGTTAACGGTGGACTTTTCCACAGGTAATTCATTTATCGTAGTAATCATCTTTGTATATAAGTTTTGTTTTGTTGGAGAGGTAATTCATTTATCGTAGTAATCATCTTTGTATATAAGTTTTGTTTTGTTGGAGAAACATGCTATTGATGTTCATAATATTCATCTAAATGTATAATTGATTTTTTTTTTTTTTTTTTTTTTTTTTTTTTTTGAGGAAATAAAAGAGTGACAGTATTTAGGTTGGCAGGTCAATTTTAGGTGCAAATGTCATATTTGTGGTAGATGGGAATCGTTTTGTGTTCAATTTTTCTGATATGGGTTGAAAGTTGAGATAAGTAATTCAGTCCAAAAATTGAAATTTCATGGAATTAGGAATTATTTAGGGATGTAATTTTTGGAAACAGAAGAACTGTAAGGATTAGAATAAAAAAATTATACAGAATTATTATGATATGAGAAAAATGGTTTTAGAATGTGCTTACTGACACTTTTCTTTTAAACTGTATGATGATAGGTAGTACAAATCAATCAATCATCAAAATGTTGATACCATGATTAATTTTAGTATGATCACAATTCAAAAACTTCAAATTTGGCCTATTTTTAAGGGATGCATGCTATGTATGTTTGGATTGTTTCTGATTCTTTTTTACATTCTAGAAGACTGAAAGAAATTCTTGTTGATAATGCAAAATTGTTGATTATCTTTGTGAATGATAGTTACAATCCTGTGGAAAGGAGAGAAGGCAGGAAAAGTGGGAAAGAAGTGGTCAGGAAATCAGCAAACCTTCAAGTTTCTGCGAAACTGAACACTTCTAGCAACAAATCTCATTCATCTCACAGCAACAGGAGAGCTGATATGTGTTCTACTAACACTAATAACCAGTCTCTTAGAGCTGCCAAACCCAGCTCTACTACTGCTGTATCTGTGTATGAAGAACAGGTAAGCCATTATGGTATTGAGATTTGTGCACTTTGACTTAATATAGTTCATGAATCTAATTTGAGACTGATGAAGCAGATTACAGAGCTGAAGTTATCAGTTGACAGTCTTGAGAAAGAGCGCGATTTTTATTTCTCAAAGTTGAGAGACATTGAAATTTTATGTCAAACACCAGAGATCGAGAACTCACCTGTATGCCTTATAAACCCACTTGTATATGCTTTTTTTGGTTGTGTTTCGAATCAAAGAAATTTGATGGTGTTGTTATAAGGACTGGAATCTGAAATTTTCTACTATGTTTTCGTTTCTTAGATTGTGGCAGCAATGCAGAAGATATTATATGCTACGGATGATGAAACATCTGTGGTGGCTGAAGCACAAGCCATAGTATCACAGCACATAAAGCATTTAAGTCCGATAGTTGAGGTCTCAGAAGAGAATACAATGGTTGAAAATCAGAAGCGGAAAAGCATTGATATCGATACTCCTACAAACGGCAAACAGCCTCAGAGGCAAAGGCTTTCTGATATTTCTAACATTCAGTGCAGCGGATCGCCTCTTATTAGCTTTTAGAGGATCTGATCTTATTTCGTATCTTTTGAACTTGACACTGTGTTGGTACCTGGACTGTTGAAAGCTCGAGCAGTCTATACCTTGTGGTTTTGTTGTATGTGTGTACTTGTGCAATTACTCATCTATCAAATGATATTAGCCATCATGATGTTTAGACCAATACATATTTCTATTCACAGCCCGGTATCAAGGCTCCTTTTATTTATTGTTCAACAATTTAAGCAAGTTTAGATAAGCGGAAGTCGGAAGCCCCAAATACTAGTAAAAAACAATGTTTATTTATTGGGCAAAAATTACACTTGTGTCACTTGTTTATTTATGTTGCAAATATTGACATGAACTTGTGTCACTTGTTAAATTAACACCAACTTGCCTAAATAAGAATAAAATTGACATTAAAAGCAATAAACATTCAATAATACTCTATACATATGATATCTATATAGTCTTATCTTTCCAGTATATTAAGAACTTTTTAAAGCAAATAATTGTTGAAAAGGAATTTTATACTTGTACAAAGGGTTGAAAGTTATGTAAAATTAGTTGTTTAGAAAGTTAATGTCAATTTAGCAAGTGATATAAATTGGTGTCAATGATTGCAAAATTTCACAAAATTGATGTCAATGATTGTAAATTTTTCTTATTTATTTATGGAAAAATGATTCTATCTTTGACTGATTCACAAATAATATTGCCCACCTATCAATTATTATTTAATATTTTCACCTTTGGAATACTATCACCTTGACCGCCTTAGAACTTTCACGTTATAAGTTTATACTAGTAGGCACATGAGACACTGAGACAGTACAAAAAAACACAAAAAGAACCTCCTTTGACAAGGCTAAAAAAAGAACACGTAGAACCAGCACATGTGAGATCGAGTGAATTAGCCAAGTAGCAAGGCTCAAGCTGACATCAAGCTTAATTTCTCTTTACTATATATGGTGAAGACTTTTTTGACGTATGTCTGATGCAATTATTCAAATAGATCCATTATATTACATTTCTAAAAATCAATAACATAATACTAAAAGCGAATCTTCCACAACACTTATCATGTCCTGATTAAAAGTTTTTCCGTTACTTTTACTTTTTTTTTTTTATTACAAATCATCATAAATATTTTTTTATATATCCTATAATATTTAACTTTCAATTTAGCAACTATATACGAAGTATATTTTATATGCATTTAATGAAAATATTTGAACAAATTACTCATGTTTCGGGGTTTTCTGATGTCCTGCGGGAGAGTTACAATTCCGAGACTAGAACCGGACGCCTGTACCTGCAAAAAAACGGAGACTCCTGTGAGCTCCGCCTCCAACGGTCAAGTTAGTACCTGATTAAGGAGTAATTAATGCGGAAATTAAAGTGATTTGGTCTCTCTAGGTGAGAGTGTTTAATGTAGGTAATCTGCGTTGTTAGCGAGATCAGCCGGTTATTACTGTGTGTAATTAATGTGTTTTTTCCGTAATGTTTCTGTTCCTCCCCTTAATGAGGATTAAGGGAGGTATTTATAACCTTGGAAAACGTGCCCATCCTAGGTTTAGGTAAACCTAGGGCCGATTGGGCTTCCCTCGGAAGTTGGGCCTGGGTGGTCGGTTTCTCCATTAGGCATGGAGTATGCCACATGTCTTGACATAACAGGTCCAAGGTGGACGAATAAGCGTGTGCCACGTGGGAAGCCCTGACTGTTCCAACTGGGGGACACTTGGCAGGACCTGATTGGTCCACGTGGCGCATTCCGATTGGTGGGAGCAAAATCCCCTAATCATTTGCCCCTCACAGGTGGCACGTGATTGATCACGTGTTACCTGTGACAGGTGTCGCACTGTAACAGGCGACGGCCTGCTACAGGTGTCAGTCGGCGAAAGGACGAGAGATTTTCCCACCCAAATTTTGAGTTCTGAAAGTGACCCTTCGCCTTCTCACTTCGCCTATATAAGGGAGAGTTGTCTTGAGTCATTTTCACACTTTGAGAACTTTTTGAGAACATTCGGACCCCTGAACTTGTTCTGACATTTTGGACCTTTTCTGCCTACCGCCTGTTCTGACAAGCCGACTGCACAGGATTTTCAGAACTTCATCAACCGTCACTCGTTCAGGTAACTCAGTGTTCTTACTCTTAATTTTCTTTTTATTTTCTGAAATGGCACCACGGAAGCACACGACACGACCTAGGTTAGTGATCAGCCGGTCACCAGGGACGGCTGAATCTAGGACTAGGAGTGTCGCCTGCCCTTTTCCGGACCCATCTTTGCCCTTTATACAAAGTCCGACTGTATCTGTGTCTATACAGAGCAGGATGGCCAGAACGAAAAAGACAGCTAGGATCTCAAATTCAGACGGCTCCTCCCACAGGGTGCCGCTTAGTGAAACATCTGACCAGGCGCCAGATGTGGAAGTGAAACAAGGCGGCCTGGATGACGGCAATTCTGTGGGGGGAGTCATAGTGACCCCTTCCCATTTAACAGTGAACAAATCTGCTCCTTTTCAAAGAGAGGAGGCGGGCCCCTCCGGGAGAGGGGAGGAGTCGTCCTCTTCGGACTCGTCGGAGGACGATTCCGAGTCAAGCTCTTCTGGCCATGCTTCTTTGGGTACAAAAGAGAAAAACAGCCGCCTGCAAGAGGCGAGACTTTCTCACGCAGTTGAGAAGGGGGACAATTGGGCAGAACCATCCGCCTCTTACCGAGAGCTAAATACCCCCTACTACTGCACGGTACCTCGGGGCCGAATCACAGTCATGCAAGAGAAAGTGGAGAGCTTTATTGCAAACCACACCATGGGCCCCGATTTTCTAGTGTTTGTGCCGGATCCAGAAGACACAGTCGTCTGGCCGGCTGGTTCCAGTTATGATAGCGCCTGCTTTGGCTGCTACGAGGCGGCCATCAAGGCAGGGCTTCGCTTCCCATTACATCCGGCTGTTCAGCGGATTTTGGATGGGTATGAGTTGGGGTTATGGCAGTTAGCCCCAAACTCCTGGGTCAACGTACTCGGCTATGTGGCCGGGTGCGAACTGCACGGGGTGGAGCCGAGCTTCGAGGCTTTCGCCCATATGAACTATCTCAGCCGGACCCCTAAGACAGGTGGTACCGGCTGGTATCAATTGACAAGCCACAGGGGCTACCTCATGACAAGAGGTAAAGCAAACAAGTGGAAGGACTGGCGGAGCACCTTCCTCATCATTGAGAGTTCAGACATTGAGTTGAACAAGCGCTTCAATAGGTGGAACAGGAATCCGCCCCTTCTTGCAGGCGGCCGTAGCATGCCGCCTGTTCCCCCCAAGGCTAAGAAAGAGATCCTTGATAAAGGACTCTTTAAAGTAGAGTCGAGGGTCGACTCTACTTCAAGGGTACGAGAGCAAGTACCCCTCCACTGCGTCCCGAGCTTCAAGTGGCTCTATGACGAGTACTTTTTGGCCGCCTGCGGCCTCAGCAGTCGGTGCTCAAGAGGTAGTAGGCCTGTCGAATACTCTGTTGTTCCATACATTTGTTGTTTATCTTTTATTAACTTTGCTGTTTGTTTTTGCAGCTGACGCCATGAGCAAAATCACCGCCTCCAAGACTGCGGCGGCCATGTTGCGGGCCTCTATTATGCAACAAGCTTCAACCGACTCCCCCAAAAAGGGGGCACCCTTGGTGAGCTCCGAACCTTTCACCCTCTTTTTGGAGTGTTTATGCATATACTGACTTTTTTCTTCTGTTTTAGACGGGTGCTCCAAGAGCTTCATCTTCCCAACAGCCGGACCCCAAGGCCCGGAAGACGACTGTTGGGAGCTCTCCTGGTTCTGCCAGGAAACAGGTGGCGGCTGAGAAACAGCCGGCCACTTCTTCTAAAACTTCAACTGGGCCGCCTAGAGGTATGAAGTTGTCCTTGTAAATTTTAGACTTGCTCCCTTTTTTACTAAGTCTAATCCGTTTGTTTATGCTTGATGCAGCCGGCCCCCAGGAGCCTGACTTGGTAGAGATGGCCAAGTCTATGATCAGGGCAGTTCCTCCAGCTGAAAGGGAGGCGGTCAGGGGTGTCGGCACCCTTGACCTTGACGGGATTGCAGGGGTCCTTGCTGTGGTATACTTAGCATATTTTTGAGTATTTGAATTTCTGGACACCTGTTTTTTTTTGTTTGGAAACTGACGCCTGTTTCTTTGTACTTAGGCCCTGCTCCGAGTGAACGGCCTTCGCAAGCCGCTTGATCGGAAGAACAAAGGGGTAAAGGCTGCAAAAGCTATGGCCGCCTCTAACTGTGATAAGGCAATGTTTCAAATTGCCCAAAATGAAGTTCTGACCATTGATATTCTTTATAATCAGGCGCAGGCTACCGCCGCTGTTCGGGCTCAGTTAGAGGCGGCCCAGAAGAAGAATGACGAGCTGGAGGCGACCATCACAAATCTCAAGGCCGAGCTGAAACCTCTTCGCCTGAAAATGTACTCTTACGAAGCCATGGAGAAATCCTTGGCCAGCGTAAAGGAACGCCTGGTGACCCAGGAGAAGAGTCTTACCCAAGAGCTCTCGGAAAAGGCCGAGCAAGAGAAGAAAGAGCTGGTCCGGGAGATGATGGAAGACTCCGCTCAAATCCAGCGCATGACCTGGGGACGCCTCTTCCCCAGTGCCGACTTTGCCTCTTGGGAAATAACGTACCGCCAGTGTTCGGATACATATAATCAAGAGATCCTGGCAGCTGCTGAAGAAGAGGCGTTGGAGGAAGCGTTGGAGGAGGAGGAGCCGGTAGTGGCGCTTGTGCCGCTTGGGGGTAAGGCATCAAAAAAGGATGCAGCTGAAGCCGAGTCCAGCAAGAAGAGTGCTGACCAGGCGGCAGCTGCTAATACTGAACTGCCCCCTTCTTAAGCTTTATGTATTCTTTCCACGGCCTGCGTGCCATTTGCTTTGTATTTACCCGGCCAGGGGGCCGGGGCTTTGAATATTTTGCTGGTCTTTAATGACCGGCTTATTTTTAATGAATTTTTGTTTTGCCTCAAATTTGTCTAAGTATTGAATATTCCAATATCCAATTGTTCACTAGACCGACTGTTTTACATGGCCGATAGTTGCAGACAGGTACGGAAAGTTAGTCACGCCGCCTACGCCCCTGGACGACTGGTTGTCTGTTTCCAGGATAGACGATCAGTCGGCCATTTATCT